ATCAGGTATCTTTTCATTTTTAATACATATCTTTTATGTACATTTTTAAAAGATTCAGTACCAGGGAAATTGATTGAAACTATAGGGGAAGACTCAACATGATTTTCGTAAAGGGAAATTATGCCTCACCAATCTACTATAATTTTTTGAGGGAGCCAATAAGCATGTGGCCAAGGATAATGCAGGGGATATAGTGTACTTAGATTTCCAGAAAGCTTTTCACAAGGTCCCTTGCCAATGGCTCTTAGGCAAAATAAGCTGTCATAGGATAAGAAGGCAGGTCTTTTCCTAGATTGGTAACTGGTTAAAAGATAGGAAGCAAAGGGTAGGAATATACAGTCTGCTCTCAAAATAGAGAGAGGCAAATAATGTTACTCCCATCCTTGCAAGGATCAAGGACCTCTATAGCATCTCTGCTGTTCAATACATCCATAAATAATCTGGGAAAATGGGTAAACAGTGAGGTGGCACAATGTCAGATGATACAAAACTACTCAAGATGAAAAACTCCAAAGCAGACTGTGAAGAGTTACCCATTTTTCTTGAGATCCCTTTGTAACTGGTGTTGCCCCCAAGGGTCCATACTGGGACCAATCCCATTCAACCTATTTATAAATAATCTGGACAAAGGGGTAAACAGTGAGGTGGCACAATGTCAGATGATACAAAACTACTCAAGATGAAAAACTCCAAAGCAGACTGTGAAGAGCTTCAAAAAGATCTCACAAAAGTAAGTGATTGGACAACAAAATGGCAAATGAAATTTAATGTTGATAAATGTAAAGTGATGTGCATGTGAAAAAATAATCCCAACTATACATATAATATGATGGGGACTAATTTAGCTATAATCACCCTAGGGAGAGATCTTGAAGTCATTGTGGTCAGTTTTCCAAAAAGATCCACTCAATGTGCAGCAGCCATCAAATAAGCAAACAGAATGCTAGGAATCATTTAAAAAGGAATAGAGAATAAGATGGAGAATATCTTTTTGTCCATATATAAAACCATGGTACACCCACATCTTGAACACTGTGTACAGATGTGATCACCTCATCTCAAAAATATATATTTGCATTGGAAAAGGTTCCAAAAAGGGCAACAAAAATGATTAGGGGTTTGGAATGGGCCCCATATGAAAAGAGATTAAAAAGACTGGCACTTTTCAGCTTATAAAAGAGAAGACGAGGGGGATGTGATAGAGTTCTATAAAATCATGACAGTTATGGAGAAAGTGAATAAGGAAAAGTTATTTACCTGTTCTTATAACATTAGAACTAAGGGTCACCAAATTAAATGATTAAGTAGCTGGTTTAAAACAAACAAAAGGTTTGTTTTACTTCACTCAGTGCACAGTCAACCTGTGGAACTCCTTGCCAGAGGATGTCATGAAGACCAGGAATGTAACTGGGTTCAAAAAAGAACTAGATAAATTCATGGAGGTTAGGTCCGTTAATGGCTATTAGCCAGGATGGGTAGGAATGGTGTCCCTAGCTTCTGTTTGTCAGGGGCTGGAAATGGATGACAGGAGAGGGATCACATAATTACTTGTTCTGTTCACTTCCTCTGGGGCATTTAGCATTGGCCACTGTTGGAAGACAGAATACTGGGCTAGATGGACATTTGGTCTGACCCAGTATGGCTCTTCTTATGTTCTTATCAAGTGTCCTTAGCCTCTGTTTTCCAGACACTGAAAATAGGCAATACAGATTGGATCTCTTGATAATTACCTGTTCTATTAATTCCCTCTAAAGCACCTGGCATTCACCACTGTTAGAAGACGGGACACTGGGCTATCCATATCACTGTTCTGACTCACCATGGCTGTTCTTATGATCTAATTTCCAAAAATGTAATAAATGTTACGTGGCAATAGAGAGGTATTAGACAGAGATTTTGACTACCTAGGGACTGAGTAATCAGGGCCTATCTCCAGACCAAAAGATAGTTTAACTATTTCACTATATTTGCTATATTTTTAAAATATGTACGGAATCATTTATTCTGATTTGTTAATTTTTATATGGTATATTTCTTGTTCTAGGTTCTATCCTTAGGAGCAGATGTTCTGCCAGAATATAAGCTCCAGACACCCCGCATCAACAAGTTTACTATATTGCACTACAGTCCTTTCAAAGCAGTCTGGGACTGGCTCATCTTGTTGCTGGTAATATATACTGCCATATTCACCCCTTACTCTGCGGCCTTCCTTCTAAATGACAGTGAGGAACAGAAAAGACGAGTGTGTGGATATTCTTGCAGCCCACTGAATGTGGTAGACTTAATTGTGGATATTATGTTTATCATTGACATTCTAATAAACTTCAGAACAACATATGTAAACCAGAATGAAGAAGTGGTAAGTGACCCAGCAAAAATAGCAATTCACTACTTCAAAGGCTGGTTCCTAATTGACATGGTTGCTGCAATACCTTTTGACCTGCTGATTTTTGGATCTGGCTCTGATGAGGTAAGCTAAAATAAAAAGTAGCCTTTTCTTCAGAAGTATTGATTTTGATAAACTGCTATTTCCCCACACAACATTTCTCTGACAGCAAACTCGATCGGGCTGTTCTGTAATATCTCAAAGAAAGTGGTGAAATTCCTAGCACTTGGGACTTTAAATGCAACTGGACAAAACACCAGTAAATGATAGAGGATGAGCCTTCACAGGCAGAAAAACAGGCTGGATGATCCACTTCTTCTTTGTTTTTTTTTTTTTTTTTTTTTCATTTCAAATTTGTTGATGCAAACTTCTATACAAATAAGAACCTAAACACACACACACAGTTTCAGAATAATCTTGGTGTTCTAAAGACATTTCTCCCTTCCTGTCTTTCACTCACATACATGGTTAATCTGTTCTGAGGATCGGTTGAGGGTATCACTCCTCAGGGCTATCAATCTGGAAAGGTTAAACCAAAACTATTACTAGGTTTGGTTTGTTTTAAAATGATTTCAGAAGTTCAAATCCTGGCAAAAATAACCAAGTCAGATGCTCAGCTGATATAAACTAATGTAGCTCTATTAGCTTCATTTGAAGTAGTCTGATATATACCAGCTGGAGTTTTGGCACAGAAATTTAGTACCATGGTATTTTGATTTAGTATCTATTCTCAGATACAAAACTTAAATGTGTTGTGCACAGATTAGGTAAAGCAAGTGTAAACTAGACATACGCAGTTTTCAAACATATGCATTTGAAAACTCCCAAAATGTGTATAATACACTTTGTGGATACCTGACCCAATTCTGCCTCCTTCCAAAAAGTTTTTATTTAATATTTTTAAAGGCTATTATAATGTGTTTTGTGATGAAGGGTGAACTGACAAGGAGAAAATACTTTTTGGTGTATGCAGAATTAGAGCAATTGAAAAGAAAAAGCAGCAGTAAACCCAATCAAAATATCATGATCTGTAGGTTTCGCAAAGGAATAATCCACTTTTTTCCCCCCAGTGCAATTTTGCACATTTTGACATAAGAGAAACTGGAAGTGTTGTTAATAATGAGTATACATTGCTAAGGGATGAGAGAAAGGTGAATGTTATCAAATCAGCACCAATCTTAGCATGAAATTTGCTTATTTCACTGGTTACCATCAGTGCCACAATGTACCTGATATAAAGAGCAAAAGCATACAGTCCATCTACAGAACTGTGTATTAAAGGAAAGCAATTACATAAAGGAAGAAAAATCAATTCTTCTTGACAGTCTGAATTGAATTCTTAGAACAAGATGGCTATTTTCAGAGGGATAGTTCTTAGAGATTCAAGCAAACTAGTATTTAAGGTCACATAGAAAATAAATGTCACAAATGCTTTAGTAGTCATTTGAACTGCAGACTAGTGATAATATATAGTTTTATAAAAATAAATAAATAAATAAATAAAGTAACCTTCATTACTCTTTTTCTGCTTTTTAAGTTATATATAATGAGAAGGCCATCCTCCTTTCCCTCCATTTCCTTTTCTTTTTGATGGACAGATTCTATGGTTATGTGGACCATATAAATATTGAGAGAGTGGGGAGGAGGGCGAATGAGAGATTGGGTCCATAGGAGTCCTTCTGTTTCCCACTGAAGTCAACAGAAAGATCCATGTTAATTTCAATGGGCTTGACACTTATAGAAGGGAAAATAGGGAGAAACCTGCAAATTCATGGATAGCCACTTTACAGCTATGGGCATCTGCTCTCAGCAGATGTGAATGCAGATAGCTTCAGCTCATTTTTGCAGATGTGGACACAAACTTTTGTATCCGTGCAAGGATCTAAAAATGAAATCTGAAGATATGTTCGGAGAACAAAAATAGTGGACCCTAAAGTCTTGTTAAAGGAATACAATAAAAAGAAAGAGATAGCAAGTTGAAAGACTGAGAAAAATATGGACCAACCCAAAACCTTTTCTCTGCAAAAGAAGATCAAAAGGCAGAGGCAGAGACAGCAATTGGAGTATCTTCTTATCCTTTGCATTTGTCACACTTACCTATGGTCACTCTCCTGTATTTCTTCTGAATCTAGTACCAGCTCCTAACTGGCACCTGAAAAGAAAAGAGCAGAAAAGAGGAAGCACTGAAAGCACAGCTGTGTGGTGATACTCTTAACTTGAACCAATTTATTCCTACAATGTATGGAGCAGAAGAGAACATCTAGGGAGGAAGCTGAAGTGAGCCTGTGCAGTGGCTGCTTCCCTCACTGGTCTGCTATCTTTTCCCCCTCTGGAAATTATCCACATGACCCCTATACTATGAGAAAAAAGTCCATAGAGTCAGGGAATGAAGAAAAAGCCAGGAAGGAACCACTCTTTAGTGGCCTGATCCAAAGCCCATATGGTTAATAAAAACTCCCAGTGCTCTTTAAATGTGGCCCTTCATGTCATTGTTCTCCCTTCCTAAAGATGTGTGGCAGGCAAAGGTGTAGAGTGCTAGACACTCTAGTGACTGGCACTATAGAAAAACTCTAGGGGTGTGTCTAGACTACAGAGTTTTGTCGACAAAAGTGGACTTTTGTCGACAAAACTATACCTGCGTCTACACTACCGCCAAGTTCTGTTGACATAATGTCAACAGAACTCGGCAGTTTTGTCGATGGCAGTAAACCTCATTCTGCGAGGAATAACACCTTTTGTCAACAGAATTCTGTCGACAGAAGGCATTATTGCATCTATTCTCTTCTTTGCGTCTACACTCTCATGTCGACAAAGCAGCTTGCTTTGTCGACAGAACTGGATGTAGTCTAGACACTCTTTGTTGACAGAAACTTTGTCGACAATATCTGTCGACAAATCCTCTGTCAATAAAAGCCTGTAGTATAAACATACCCTAGGTAGCTAGGTAATGTTGAAGAACAGCAGCAAAGAATATTCTAGAAACTTATTTTCCAAATAGCACAAATTTCAGCAGAAAAAAAATTAGATCATATATTGTGAATAAAAGGAAAGTGATTAGTCATTTTGCCCATCTTTCCAAATTGAATGTTTCAGCTAACTATAGAATCTAGTTAACTTTCCCTGAGAAACAACCAGTCTATGGATTTAATGGCCAGTTCAGCATATCTTTTCAATAAACCCCTCTCTCTCATTCATAGCATTGGCTATATAAACTACTTTCTAAAAGCTGCTGGGTGAAAGTATGAACTTCACTTTCATTGTAGTTTAGTTTCTTATATACCCGAGTCAAATATTTTTATGGTGAACCCTTTTTTAATAGCCCAGTTCGAGCGAGTGAATGTGAAACCATTACAATAATGTGCTTGTCACTTTCAGTCATAGGGGTGCCTTTGCCCTGAAAAAGCTTTTTTCATTACCTCAGGGTTCTTCAGATAAGATCCCCTGCTAACAATTGTGCCTGGACATCCTTTTTATTAGCCAACACCAGCTCTAAAGAGAGCATCATGTGTGCTTATCCAGCTTTAGCAAACCTAAATATCCAACTGTGCCTAGAAAGGGCAGGAGAAAATCAAAATACCACATGCAGCATTACTTGAATACCTCTATTTTGCTTTACTTTTCTTAGTTTCCTGTATTGACAAACCCAGAGTTGTTAACCTTCCCATTTCCACAGTGAGACACTTAGATAATATAAAATAAACCTTTTTGATTTAAATAGATTTTTAACAAAATACTATTATAGTTGTTTATCTGCTGTTCCCTTTTCTGTGTGTTTTGACTGTTGTGTGACATCCATGAAACTTTGGGAAAGTAAGGGGATGGCAAATGTTTTCTTTCTGCCTTCTGTTACTCTGATAATTTATTTTTCATCTTATTGCTAGAATCTGGCCTAGTTTTTTAGCACAAGATGCATGCAGTTGCATAGCTAAGTTCACACAAATATACACAAATAGATCATTTGCATGCACATTTACAATGATTGCATCTTTGATCATGATACCGGGACCTATGTTTTAAATATGCTTTTTTTAAACTAAAAATTAGTTTTCTTTCCTACCATCTTCTCACTTGGTGTCCCAGATGCAGGGAGAGAGGAGGGCAGAGAGACCTGTTGATAAGCAAACTTTTCTTTATCGCAAAGGTCCCAGTTCAGCAAATGATGTAAATGTGTCCTTTAATCACTTCAACAGGAGTGCTCACATACTTAAAGTTATGAGCGTAAGTGTTTTGCTGAATCAGGCAGAGAGGGAAGACACTGTCCCGAAAGATACAGAAAGAAGTAAGACCCTGTGCTATTGTTGTTTGTAAAAATAATAGCAATACAGACCAGTGTTATTGTTGAATAAGGCATCCCCAAACCCTGTATAGACTTCGTTTAAGTCTATCTGCTAGAAACTAGGAGCTCCAGTACCACCTGTCAAGTCAGTCCTCTCTGAATCTATAGCAAGGGTCCATGAACCTCAGGCTGAGAACAAATGCCCTACTGTGAATTAATATTAAGCATTTATTACTGAAGATCTTAGTGTGAAGGACAATTATAACCAAGTCTTTAGAAGAGGCTAGTCTAATAAGCAATTTTAGTAATCACAGGGTGAAAGGCAGAGTTCTATTATGGATTAGAAAATGGTTATAAGAGAAAAAGAGGTTAATATTGGGTTTCCTCGAGGATTTCTAGTAGTGTTGCTCTTTATTTTATATATTTGTTCATGATCTGGAAAAGAGATGAACAGAGATACCAAAATTTGCAGGAAACTCAAAATAATTTTGGATAGTCTAAAGGGTATTGTGAGGAACTTTGGAAGGCCCTTACAACACTTGAAAGCTATGGAACATGGTGGTAGATGAAATACATTGTAGTTAAATATAATGGTAAGGTACATTGCAAGGATCAGTTTGAGCTACATATACACATCAAGGCTTATATAGTTTTAAAAAGAGACACATAGGAGCTGGTATTATTGAAATATCTGTATTAATAATAATAATATTTTGAAGAAAATAGCACCACCAAAATAAGAGTAAAAATGTTTCAATTCTAATGACTGTTAGCTCAGAATGAACACCAGTGTTTTCCATGTGTAGATAATTAGCTATTCCCAATGTAGTCATCGAAACAATTGAATACCAGTAATACCTTCTAAATAATGCTTCTGCAATCAGACAGATAAATGGCTCTTCCTGTTTCTAGTTATTCCACCATCAATTGGCCTCTAACAAAACATCCTTGTGTTGTAAATCAGTTTACCATAAGGGCTCTGGAAATTAAGCATCTAAACTAATCTCAATATTCAGGAAGGAGTCAGTAGTCACACTTGAGGAAAAACCATAACTAATGGCACTTAAACAACAATGGTCCTGTGTCACCTTAGAGACTAACCACAAATATATACATAGTATCATGAGCTTTAGATGGGGGTTGTGCCCAGGAAAGCTCATGATACTATTTACAGGCAGTCCCCGAGTTACGTACAAGATAGGGACTGTAGGTTTGTTCTTAAGTTGAATTTGTATGTAAGTCGGAACTGGTACATATTGTAGGAGAAACTCTAGCCAAACATTTCTCCAGAGCTCAGTTTTATTCTCCCACACCTCACTTCCCTCAGTCCTTTATTCTCAAGCTGAGGTGTCTGCTGAGAAAAGCCGCTCCGCGTCTCCTTGGTTTGCTGTGGGGGGGCGCTAGCTTCGCGTCTCCCTGGTCTGCTGGGGGGAAGCAGCTAGTGCGGGGTTTCCTCACCCCGTTTGTAAGTAGGGATCCGATGTAAGTCGGATCTATGTAACCCGGGGACTGCCTGTATATATTTTTGGTTAGTTTCTAAGGTGCCATAGGACCATTGTGGTCTTTTAAGGTTTTTTTAGTTACAGACTAACACGCTACCCCTCAGAGACTCTAAAACTTATAGGTAGGGATTCTGTGAAATTTACTCAATATTATACTCCTAGAAGAGAAACTAACAATGAACTAATGTGATAAGCAGGTATTTTTTTCTGAACTGATGGTAGGTAGAACTTTATCAACATTGTCTCTCTCAAGCTTTTCAGGAACAGTACTGATAATCCCTCCTAACAATCTGCATTGGCCCTTACAATTTGTGGGTGAGGTCATATAAGCTCTTCGTTGTAGGCAGACCCATACACAGATGTCCTGTGAGTTATTACTTGAATGTTATGATCATGGTTTTAATTATGGATTTGAGCCGTTATACATTTTTAAAAATAAAGTTTTAACTTTCATATAGCTTTCTGAATCAGGAAGCAATGTCATTACTGCTAACCAAATGTCAGAAGCACTGCAGGAAGTATGTGGGGTTTTACCATCTTTTATACATAGATGATTTCTGTGCATACCTTTTGAGTACCAAAGCATATTTACAAGTATGGGATACAACCATTTGATATAGATAGTGTATTTGGAATATGTCCATTAAACTTCTAAACAAAGCTGACTTGTATTAATGTGAAGTGATGGTATAGGAAGAATGAAGTGTTGTTCATTCATTTAAGAAAATCTCTAACTTTTCAATAGATTGATGCACAAGATGAAACAATGATTTTATGGGTGTCTTATAGTAGCTGTGATATTATCTACGGGTTGCGCCTCTAAAATCTGGGAATCTCTAGTCTGGCAACATCTATGGTCTGGAAGGACCACGGATATTGCTGCACCAGAGAGCCCTGGCTAGCCAAGTTCAGAGGCTGGGCTTGTGGTGAGGAGCGCAGCCCCGGAGGCAGCAGGGACAGCGTGGTAGGGAGCATAATCCCCACTGAGCCTGGTGGCGGGGAGCATAGCCCCGCCTTGGAGCACAGACCCAGTAGCTGCAAGGCCAGCATAGCAGGGAGCACAGCCCCACCTGGGCAAGACACAGCAGGGCTGGTATCTGGGAGTGCATCCTGAATAGGAGCCTGGGATTGCAGCATGGGTCATTAGGGAGCATAGCCCCAGCCCTGGGCAGGAAGTGCAGTACCACCATGGCTGGAGGCAGCAGGCCTGCTGTGGGGAGCAGGACCAATAGCCAGCAGGGGAACCTTGACCTCCCGTGGTCCAGAAAACTCTGTCGTTTGGTCAAGTCCCAAGTATGTCAGACCAGGGAGGCCCCACCTGTACTATACGTGGGCATTTCAAAAGTGTGCATTTTTTCATCTTTTTGAAATAGTCATTCTGACTCTACTGTGATATAATAAAAAATACAAAGAGAACACAATACTTAAAAATGGAAAGAAATCCAAACCAATGGCTATTTGGTAACTACACAAAGTACTTGAAGACTATCAAGTACACAGCACGACAGTCAAGACGTAGATCGGTCAACAGAGGAAACCTTTGTCGACCACTCCTGTAAACCTTGCAGAAGACATAAGGGATCTGTTGAAAAAGTCTTTCTTTCTCAACAGATCCCCCTCTAGACTTCCGCTTTTTGCCGACAAAGTGTTGAGTTGGCAAAACATGGTGGCCATTTTTATGCAAATTAGGTATGGGATATTTAAATCCCTGCCTCATTTGCAATGTCAACCTACCTAATCTGCATCCCTCTGCCAACAGAGGGATTGTTGTTCCCATGGCAGTACAATGGCACAGTCTCTTGCTTTTGGTAAAGCCATGATTAAACTTACAAATAATTTTGTTGAAACCAATGATGCTATTTGCCTAAGGATTGCTCATGTGTGTGAGTGGGACAGGACAGAGTCCTTAGCCTGATCTTGCAACGATTTACACATGTGGTTAAATTAACTCCTTATGTGCAAAGTTAAGCACATGTATAACTCTTCATAGGATCTGGGGCCTTAGTAGGGTTGCCAACCCTCCAAGATTGGCCTGGAATAAAGATTAACCTTTAATTAAAGATTGTCATATAATGAAATTTCTAGGAATATATCCAACCAAAATTAGCAAATCCGGTCTTAGTGACCTCAGAATGTTGAAATCACTCTCCATTCAGCTTCATCCACCATAATGCAACAGCAGAAGTATTGGCTCTGAAATTTTCTCTGTCAGCAGAATCTTATGCAAAAAATAATTACCTTGCACCACCTTCCTTCCAATTCCTATAATCAGAAAACAGTAATTCATAAATTGTTTTCTTTTGCTTGTTGCATCATTATTTTCTAGATCAATTGTCCTTTATATTATACTTCACGAATAACAACAGACTGCACAATAATTACACATTTTATTTAATCCAGGAATAAACCTAGAAGAAATAGGATGTCCTTAAACAGTTTGCGCTGATTGTTTATACCACAATGGACTTTGATTCAGCTGCCAACAGTATAGTTTTTAGCTTTTACTATCTCACAGTGGTTTCTTAATCAGCTGAACACAGTGTGGGATGATAATATATGAGTAGCAGAGTTGTCATTAACATACTATACTATCCTTTTACAAATCTTGCATATTCACCACATATTTTTCATTTATGGGTTGACTCTATTGTTGTGATCTCACTCGGAAATACATAAAATATAGAGAGGTTTAATAAAACATTAATAACTAGTTTAGTACTTAATGAAAGGAAATTTTAATGTGCAGAGTATTCCTACCATAACCTTTCATAAAACTAAGAACTTCCACGGTTGTTAAATGTTATATATTATAGATACATACAAAAAACTTAGTCCTGACATTTACTGTGCTTTAATATTACATGCACAGACTTAATGGATAGCCAAAATATTTGTTACTAAGTTGTCTTTTTGAAATTCTGTAGTTACTCTTTATGGTGTTCTTGATTATCTATTTTACAGGGCACTAACAATGAGCATATAAAATGACTCAATAGTTGATAGCAAATGGTAAGTGCCAAGTGTAGAATCATGGGTAACATTGTAATGAGGGACAAATTCCTCTTGATTAAGGCTGCAGTTGAACTTGGTGCATTTCTACTGTGCAAAGGTAGAACTAGATTTCTCATGGTACACACCATTGGTGAGATGTAGCATTCTGATATTTTGCCACCTCATGGAGTTAGAAGAATAGATTAGGTATAGTATTAAAAAGTGGGAGATTCTAGACATCACAGTGGTGATAATGGTTAAAATATCATAACTTAATAAAACAGCAGACAGTCCTTTTTCTCAGTATATTTTACATTATAATTATGTAGGAAGCTTTGAAAGGAAATGAAATCAACAGTATCTTTTTTGTTTCTAATAAATGACAGTCTTTTCTTTACCCACGTCAACCTGGCTTGTTCATATTTACCATTTCAGAGTATGCTTATTAGTGATGAAAAGTAGTTTCTAATGTCCGTGTCTTATTTTCACAGACTACAACATTAATCGGTCTTCTGAAGACAGCTAGGCTGCTGCGTTTGGTGAGGGTTGCACGAAAATTGGACAGATATTCAGAATATGGTGCTGCAGTTCTGATGCTTCTTATGTGCATATTTGCACTAATTGCACACTGGCTTGCTTGCATTTGGTATGCCATTGGGAATGTAGAAAGACCTTACTTGATTAAAAAAATTGGCTGGTTGGATTCTCTAGGAGAACAATTAGGAAAACCCTACAATGTGAGTGATCAAAGCTCTGGACCATCCATCAAGGACAAATATGTCACAGCACTTTATTTTACCTTCAGCAGTCTGACAAGCGTAGGATTTGGAAATGTATCTCCTAACACCAACTCAGAGAAAATCTTTTCGATTTGTGTCATGTTAATTGGCTGTAAGTATTTTTAATTCAATATTTGAACAATTGATGCAACAGAATTTGTTAAATTATAAATATGGAGGGAGGAAGAGAGATAAATGGAAAAATATGAGTATAAATAAGTAACATATATTCTCGTTCATAAGCCGACTTTTTTAAAAAAAATCATGCTGTGAAGAGCAGGGGTCGGCTTATGAACCGGTTCTTCCCAAGCCACAGCAAGGACTTGCTAGCTGAAGGACTTGCTAGCATGGAGTCTCTCAGCTGAGAGACACTTACCTGAAAACACTTAACGCTTTAACAAAGAGCTTTCAATGAGCCAGCAAATCCTTCAGCCTTCATTGCTTCCTGTGGCTCAGAAGTGTCCAAAGATCTGTATTAAAACGTGAAGTGCTAAAAGCTCAGCTGAGAGCCTCTGTGCTGATGCTTACCTTAGGAGCTGGGACTGGACCTCTGTACTCTAGATTCGGTTTATAAATGTCAGGGATTTTTAAACCATTTTTTCTGTGTAAGTTTGGGGGGTCAGTTTATAAATGAACAGACTTACGTTCAAGTACATACAGTACATATTTATAGCATGTAACATTATGTCATGGATAGTAATAGAGATGTAATCGTGTTAGTCTAGTCTAGCTGAAATAAAAAACAGGACTATGTAACACTTTAAAGACTAACAAGATGGTTTATTAGGTGATGAGCTTTCGTGGGCCAGACCTACTTCCTCAGATCAAATAGTGGAAGAAAATAGGCATGACCATATATACCAAAGAGATACAATCAAAAAAAGTGAACACATAAAAAAGGACAAATCAAATTTCAGAACAGAGGAGGGAAGAGGGGAGGGGAAGGTAAATATCTGTGTGCTAATGATATTAGAGGTGATAATTGGGAAAGCTATCTTTGTAATGGGTAAGATAATTCGCTTCTTTGTTAAGACCCCAGCATAAAGTGTCAAATTTAAGCATGAATGACAGTTCAGAGGTTTCTCTTTCAAGTCTGGTGTTAAAATGCCTTTGAAGCAGTATGTCATGGAGTCTCGGGTATAGAATTGTCCCCATGAAATATATTTAGATGTGGAAATTAAGCCTTTGTCTTTCCAAAGGCTTCTGGAGCCTGTGACTGACTTAAACACATTAGTAGACCCTTCACTTATATACCTGCTGCAGGAAGTCCCTTGCTGAATTGGGGCCAAAAGGAGAATGTCTCAAAATGTTTAAAAAATAAAACACAACCTTTTTTGATAGAAAATGATTATTTGAACACTTTTTATGCTAAGATGAGATTTCTAAATGTGCATGATGCATTCATTATATATGCAGCCCCAGCTACTCTCCCCATTCCTACCTGCATTTGTAAAATTGCATAATCGGCAATTTTAAAACATCAAGTTTGGACCACTCTTCTTGTACTGAAATTTCAGATCACATGTAACTCGGCATCCAAACAAAGTTACTCACATTACTGCAGTTACTCACAATCAGGTTCCACATGTTCTCTGTGCTGCTCATCACTTTTTGCATTGTAAGTGCATCACACATGCAGAATCAAAGCCTTTATTGGTAAACCTGCAAAAGTCTACAGAATTCTGTCACCACCAGCAAATTCTGCCAGAAATTCTCTGGTTCCCTCTTCATAACAGTTGCTTTACATAGACCACATCATACATTGTGTTATGGTTGATCGTGTAATATTCTTATATTCTTTATTCCCTCCATTCTGAACCAGCACACTTCCCTACAGGGAACGTGTAAGGAAAGTTTGTATCAAATACAAGAAAAAGAGGGCAAACATACACCTGGTTCTATTAGCACTTGGAGACAAAAAGCAGTAAGCAGTATAGAATTTATCTTACTTTATTTCTCATGACCTTTACTACTGTAAATTGTCATGGAAATGCACATACATACTGTTGAGTGTGCTGAAATTCTCCCATCCTTATTCTATTCTTTATTAGAAAAAAAAATCAATTTTGGCTTCAGAGGGAATTTTGTCTTGCAAGAGGTTAACAATTATAGTATTTAGTCTGAGGTAAACACATGAAAAGTATGGTACATGTTATGACAATTAAACTCTCAGGAAAAAAAATTCAAATGAAGTCTCTTAGCTAAATGATTTTGTAGCTTGCAGAAAGGAATTTCTGCTGTTTGTTTTAAAAGAATCCCAAGATTTGGTCGTCTCTTTAAAGAATTCTAGGAACCATAATAACATAGCTGCTTTTACAAATATATTTATAATTATATTTTATATTTTCTGAATATATATGTATATTTTAAAACAAATGGCTTTTTTAAGTCCTACTTCTGTAGGACCAAAGCACTTTAGCTTATGTGTTTCTATGATAGCTCTTATAAAGTTGAGACAGGCAACTAAAATAATCTGAAGCCTAGGTAGACCTCTATAAGGGAAAAGAGTGAAAAGATTGGACAATTTATTTATGGAGGGCAACACGATATATTCCAAAAATCAAATTATGTATAAAAGTGTATTGGGTATGCTATTTACCTTTCTCATAATGTACAAACAATGGAATAGTCAATAAAATAGAAAAGCATTATATTTAGAATTGATAAAGGAATAACTTTTGCTTTACTGACCAATAATAAATCTGTGGCCACACGTTTAAAGTCTATAGTTTTAATGAGACTAGACATTTGTATGGCAACTGAAGTTACGTTAAAAATGATAAAAACTTTCAGACAGTAAATTAGTGCTTCTGCATCAGGGCATAAGTCAAACACTGAGGCTATGTCTACACTATGGAACTTTTCTGGGCTATCTCCAGTATCCCGGAAAAGCTCTGCTACATCCAAAGAACGCTTCCGCTTTTTTGGGACAGTTTCCGAAAAAGCAGATGTATTCTTTCAGCATCCCTGTATTCCTCATTGTATGTGGCATAAGAGATGTCCCAAAAGAGGAGGTTTTTCTGACATTTGGCCCCATGTAGATGGACCAAATGTCAGAAAAGCCTCTTTCAAAAAAAAAAAAAGGCGGAAAAAGATGCTCAAATTGCGGTTTGCAATTTGCTTATCTTTTTCCAAAAAAACTCTGCAGTTATAGACATAGCCTGAGTGATGGAGGGTTAGAAAGAGATTTCCCCACTGGATAAATTGTTCCATGATTGTCAAATATGGGTTTTCTTTCACCTTCCTCTAAAGCAGGGGTGGGCAATAACTTTTGCCCTGGGCCATTTCAAAAATGTTCAAAGTATCCCTGGGTGGGGCCTAAACAGGAAGGGACGGGACTACCCCACCGCCAAGCCAATTAAGGGTGGGGGCAGAGTGGAGAAGGTTTTGGTCGCTCCCCCGCCCCCCAGACCCTAACTGACCTGGGGGCAGAGGAGCAGCAGAGCCTCTGCAGGCCCGATCCACCAACTTGGCAGGCCGAATCCTGCCCACAGAGACCCTTTTGCCCACCCCTGCTGTAAAGTATTCGGTATTTTATTAGAAGTACTGTTTGTAAGACATAGACTCCTGGGCCAGATGGACCATCAGTCTGATTCATGTCAGTTCCTGTGTACCTCTGACTTGCTTTTCTGATTCATTAACCCATTATAGAGTCTCCCCTTCTGTCAAAGTGACAACTGCTAAAGGAAAAATGTGTAGTGTTAAGGTATGCACAAAAATTGAAACTTGATAACAGCTTTAAAGGCAGAACCACCTTTTTATGAAAAGCTATTGTTTCAGAAGATCTTATTTCTAAACCACATTGGATTAGTTTTGGGAGAGGTAATCAAGGTGCAGAATTGACATTCTCATTGAAGTTTTAGAGCTTTGATGTAACATTAAAGGAACTAACATCACAGTAGCTTTTCTCCCTTAGATGAAAGGAACAGAGACTTCCCTTTGTCTTTCTAGGGAACAAAGAAAAATGAATATTATAAACTGGTAGTACAGTCTGTCTGATTTGGATATTTAACAAAATCTATTGTTAAAACCGAAATTTTAAGGAGTAGAAACCAAATGCACTAAAACCAGTCTTAGGGCCTGAACCTGTAAAGGAATGGCCAACCAAGTCCTATTTATGTCAGTGGTGCTTTACCTGGGCATGTGTTCTTATGAGCAAATTTCAGTACAGTTTGCAATGATTTTATTGGAGCTATTTAATCTGATTCTGCTTATTTATGGCAGGAGCATGTTTCTAGAGTGGCTCGACACATTATAACAGTCTTCATTATTTCAACCTCTTGGTTATTAAACCTATGGGTTATATGAAACTGGATCTTGCTCCCTTAAGCAGTGGTCACCAACCAATAGATCGCAATCTACTAGTAGATCTTGGAGCCTCTGACAGGAGATCCTGACTGGTTTGGCCAGGAAGCTATCAAGTGCTGGCACTTCAGTTGCCCCTCTACCCCCTGTCATGCTGCTCCTGCCCTCTGCCTTGGAACTACCCCCTTGGGAGCCTCCTGCTTGCTAGGCAGGCACTGGAGGAAGAAGGGGGGCATGATGTCAGGGTTTCTCTCCTCCCCCCACTTCTGTACCCTTTCTCCACACAGAGAGAAGGGAATGGAGGGAGCCTGGCAATGCAAATCTCTGTCATTCTCACACACTGTGTGTGTGTCTGCCATTCTCACAAACATACACGGTCCTGCACTCTCATCTCCTGACCCAACACATACATGGGTGGTTGTTGTTACTTTTACTGCTTGCAGAGTGTGTTGTTTTGGGGTTTTGACTGCTCTGCACATTTCATAATTTTCATTTCTGTCTTGCACTTAAATTTAATTCTTTGCATTGTGAGTTCTAAAATGCCTAAACTGTTGTGGCTGGAGTAATTATGCCCTTGGTAATTTCTGCTCCTGGAAATTACTGGCATGTCCTTGTGGCCCCTGAGAAAGGCAGAGCAGGGAGTCTCCACATGCTGTCCTTGCCTGCAGACACCTCTCCTGTAGCTCCCATTGATCAATAACGAGGAAGTATGTCTCCGTGCCTGTGAATGAGGGGTAGCATATGGTGCCATGGAGCCATTGCTGTATATGCCAGCTGCTTTCAGGAGTGGTGTAGGGTCAGAGCAGGAGTAAGCCTGCCTTAAGCCATTTCTCCACCACCCAGAATCCATCTCAGTTAAACGGTGCCCAGCCAGATCCTGCATCCTGAACCCTTGTCCCAGACCTGAGCCACTTTCTACACCCAGCCTCCTGCCCCAGACATGAGTCCCTCTGCATCCAAACTCCTTCCCAGAGCTTGTACCTTGAAATCCTTCCTAAACCCCAATCTCCCACCCTGGGCTAAGTCTGAAGCCCCTCCCATACTCTGAACTCCTTGGTCCAAGACCAGAGCCTACACCCCAACTTCATACCCCCCACTGGAGAAAATGAGAAAGGATGGGAAAGAAGGGGGATGGAGTGAGCAGGGTGAGGCCTTGGAGAAGGGGTGGAGCAGGGTTGGGGCTTTGGAAGAGGTGGGAAGGAAACAGGGCAATGGTATTTACGTTTGCAGTAGATCTTACATTGCACTTAAACTGAAAAAGTGATCTTATGGTTAAAAAGGTTGGAGATCACTGCCTTATAATCTTTAATTAGTTAGAAAAATAATGTTACTCCAGCTAACTTCCCAAGTGCTCTTAGATAACCAAGGTCATGCTCTACTTCAATTTTAGACGCCAGTCTTGCAAAACCTTAAATACATACATACTTTTGCCCACTGCGAACAATCCTGTGGAAGTCTATTGGTTGGTAAATTTAAGACACAGGTGAATAATCTTCCCAGAATCAGAACTAAAAATTCTCAAAAATAAATATTGCAATCTTGTTTGCCTAATATTTTAAAACTTCTTTCAGTGACTGTTTCTTCTGTGAAGCTTCCCATTAACACAATCGGACAACTAATAAGCAGGCAATATCAAATCCAGTTTCTGTTTAAAAGACCAAAATGTCACCAGATTTGACCTGTGCTGTTTTCCACACTAGTCTGTGCACTAATATCAGCTGTGTTATGTGCAGAATGCAGTAATATTAGCTAATTGTTTGTTTCTATCTAATATAGCATTAATGTATGCGAGTATTTTTGGAAATGTATCGGCAATAATCCAAAGACTGTATTCAGGAACTGCCCGGTATCACATGCAGATGCTGCGTGTTAAAGAGTTTATACGCTTTCATCAAATCCCCAACCCTTTGCGGCAACGGCTCGAAGAGTACTTCCAGCATGCATGGACCTACACCAATGGCATTGACATGAACATGGTATGTAATTCTGCTTTTAAAAATTAACAAAGTCACAGGGGTCTAGAATGAAAAAATTCTCATAATTTTTGAAATGCTGAATTATGTTTATTTCTTATGGGTTTACTTTTTGCCATAGAGACAGTCCTAGGTTCACTATCTATGTCATCACACAGTGTTGAAACAAGATGTCACATATCAGCATCCTATTATATAATACAATGTGTCCTAGACCCATAAGACATCACTTTCTTACTTTTGGTGAAACTGCATCAAGGCAGTAGACTCAGTTCTTGGGGTTCTGCACCTCTTCTAATTTAGTTGTGCATTGACCTTTTCCTACATCCTAGTCACAGTCATTGGAACATAGAACACCTCAGTTTTTACATTGATCTGCCCATTTGAAACCCCAGGAAGTTGTATATAAATATTTACAGCATTCCATGACCACCTGAAAGTTTGGAGGAGCCCAGGTTCCATTGCTCTAGTGGAGTTTCATGGTTAACCTGGGAGGCAGGCTATGATGTGGCACAGATGATGAGGAAGGGACAATGGCCAATATTTTTATAATGGTTAGTGACTGTGGTGATGGCTTCAATTTTTGGGTGCCAGACTTGAGATGTTTTAAAGGTATCTGATTTTCAGAAAGTGGATGCTCAGCACCAAAGTTGGGCATTCAAAACTGGAGGCACTCTAAATCACTAGTCACTTTGAAAATCTTGCCTAGAGCACTAATCCTTGAGCTCCCAGAACTGGAACACAGCACAGTATGGGAACCCCTGCTGGGTGCTATGGACTAAAAAAAGTGTGTGGGGGGGAGAATCTTAAGAACACTTTCTCCAAATGCATTTTTTTAACATTTCTTTTAAAATTTGGCTTGATCCAGACACCTCTGTTTCACACCAGGGTAACTCAAGTGGATTATGCAGCATTATACTCACTTAAAATCAGTACAGCATGAAGGCCTTTTCAGTGTCTTCTGACACAGCACTAGTACAGTGCATCATGTATTTCAAAAATGGGGAAAGTGGATTAGTTAGCATCCCACAAGAGAAGAATTCTAATCAGAAAATAGCCTGAATATTAACCAGGCCCCACCCACCAGTCTCCATGGGTATGTCTACATTACCCCCCTAGTTCGAACTAGGGGGGTAGTGTAGACACACCCCTGGTCTTTGCCAAAAACCATCAAAATATTAACCATTAAGCAAGTCACAGAGTTCTTAATAATTTAGAAAGAAATGACAGGATCCAAGATCTATACTTTTTATCTTTGACACTTGATTATAGAGACAGACGAAATATGCTAATAAGTCATATGTCAAGCTTTAGATTATGGCATGCTAAAAGGAAATGTCATTAGCGGAAGTAGACATACACTTGCTGCTGCTTTTCCAAATCTCAGAAATTTCCTTTCTGAGAAGTTGAATCACTCACGTTGAAGCCATCAATGGCATAATAGAAGCTCAGACAACTTCCTAAGCTATTCTAAGACTGATAGAAAGCAAGCCGCTTTGTCAACATGAGAGTGTAGACGCAAAGGACAGTGTAGATGCAATAACGCCTTCTGTTGACAGAACTCTGTTGACAAAAGGCATTATTCCTCGTAGAATGAGGTTTACCGCCGTCGACAAAACTGCCAAGTTCTGTCAGTGTTCTGTCGACAGAATTCAGCAGCAGTGTACATACAGGTATAGTTTTGTCAAGAAAAGTCCATTTTTGTCGACAAAACTCTGTAGTCTAGACTCACCCTAACTAGTATTGCCTTAAATATAAAATCTTCCAGAGCAGAGGAGGTTGTTTGTCAATAAGTTGGAAGAGTTGCATATCTTAATTCAGTAGGTAACGGCAATGATCTGATAAAAGACATATAGTGCTGAATCGCAGACAGTTTGACTTTTTGGTTACTCTTACATAAAGCAGATCAAACTATAAACAATTCCCCTTCACCTGCGCACACACTGACACACACTTCTGCAGGCATTGCTGCACATCAGGGAAGAATTCATATCCCAGAATGGGGCTGGTGGAGTTAAACAAGCCTCCTTTGGGGGTTACACTACTGGAAAGGCAATGTCAGTGCTTGATCCTGTACGTTACTGAGTAGCCCTAACTCTCATTGAAGTCAATGGGGTTTGAGATGCTCATCATTCTACTGGATCACGCCTTTGAGTTGGAATAGGTCTGAATCTAGACAATCCTTGTATTTCTGAAGATATTAAATAATGGGAGTTCCTTAGGGTTAGGGTTAGGGTTAGAGTTCCTTTAAGAGGAAGCAATGTGGATTATTGGGTGTGACTTCTATAGACACACCTCTTTGTGTACCCACAAATTGGATGTTGTCTGGTTAAACTTTGCATAATTCAGAAATTGGTGTATTGGCAGTTGTCTTCAATTTGTCATTTACGTGAAATACAAATTAAATGGATTAAATATCCCCACCTACATGAAGATGATTGTGAGGCAGTATGAAGATTTTGTTTCAAATAAAATATGAAACAATAACAATCCAGATTAGTGGCTTGTTTTGTTATATTTTATTTCTTACTCTCTCATGTATTCTATCTCTTAAGTCTATGACGATCAATTAATTTACTTTTAATGTGTGTTTGTTTGGATATATTATACATCAATTCAAGATTGATATGCCAGTTGTCTGATTTATGTTGTACTTATGAAAGATTTATCTTTTTCCTGTCTGCTTCATTCCTAAATACATGGACTAACACCATCCACTGGTAAGAGCAGGAGGTATTTGTATCAAATTTAATTCCAGTGTAAAGTGTGGAGAATATCCATGTTATCTGTCGGGTTTAGAGCTTGTTTAATGTTTTCTATTTTTAGTTGTAACCTTTCTTGCATGATGAAGTGATAGATAACCAAGAGAAAGGAATCTAAATTGAATCAGATGCCGGGCAAAACATATAAAACTGCTTGAGGTTGCCACATTTATTAGACAGTTTTATCCTACAACTTTAATCAAACTTCTCTGCCCCAAAAAAGTCTTGTGCGTATGATATTCCTTAGTTGCTCTGCAGAAATGTCACACTCTGATCAACTTACTATGCTGATCATTCTGCATTTTCCTTTTTATGTGAATGCTTTTACATATGCACATAAACATATATGCATGTTAACAGCAAGTGTGGATTAAATTTTCCAGGCTCTAAACCATGTCCATATGAAATGGACTGGCATGTGGTTTTGAGAGTTAGGGTGTGTCTAGACTACCTAGTTTTGTCGACAAAAGTGGACTTTTGTCGACAAAACTATACCAGCGTCTACACTACCGCTGAGTTCTGTCGACATAACGTCGATATAACTCAGCAGTTTTGTCGACGCTGGTATACCTCATTTTACGAGGCATAACACCTTCTGTCGACAGAACTCTGTCGACAGAAGGTGTTATTGCCTGTAACACTGCATCCAGACTACGGAGTTCCGTTGACAAAGCAGCTTGCTTTGTCGACAGAACTCAATGTGTCTGGACGCTCTTTGTCGACGTAAGTTTTGTCGACAGTATCTGTCGACAAAACTTCCGTCGACAAAACGCGGTAGTCTAGACGTACCCTTAGAACTTGCATGAAATCTCTATTTATATCCAAAGGGACCAATTCTGTTCTCAGGCAAGTGTGTGACTCCTGCTAACTTCAGTGAATATCTAAGGGCAGAATTTGTTCCTGACTTCCTCCCCCAACATCTCATCCCTGAAACTTGAGTAAATTCCAAAATAATTTTCCTTCTTTGAAATATAGAATTTATGAATAATGTACATGATATACATAATTCATAATAGGAAGTTTGTTTCCAAAAATGTACTTAAGGCTAATAATTCAGGGAAAGCAAACAACTAACTTTCCAACTAAGATATAATACTGTACTTAGATAAATAAACTTGCTTTCTTAAAAAAACATCCTGCAATTCTTTACTGAAAATTAGGAGATAATATTTCATATTTGGTTTAGATGGTTAAAGTAAACATAACCTTAAAGCTCTGGTGTTAAAATATGCTGAGAACATGCATGATTTGTTCCTCTCTGCTTCACTTCTACTTCTCTTTGCTTCTGATTCATTGCATAATATATTTTGATGAAACAGTTGTACTGATTATCTAATCCATGCATAATTATATTAACAGTATTTAGGATTTATTTTAATCTGGAATAAATTCTTGAGCCTACAGAATAAGTATAATTTAAATCATGCCGTTACTTTATTCACTGGCAAAGTTAGTTACAAAAGGTGATTTATAATGCAAGTTGCCACTGTAAAAGTAAGATTCAAAAGGATTGTGATTTTCTAGAATTTTTCAATCTATGCTATTCTATTTTTCCTATATTCCTTTCTTTTCCTTCCAATATTACTAATCCCTCACCCACTGATAAAAGCACGACTATACTATTCCTAATGGAAAGATCAACTCTTAGACTATGTCTACACTGGAAAGTTTTGGTTTTGAAAGTGTTTTCGACGTGCAAAAGTCATCAAAACTGAAAACTCATTAAACCTGCTTTTCCTCCACCCATTGTCGACATTACATAGCCACATTGCTTTGCTCTTTCTGTTGATAGAGGAGTTAACATCCCACAGTGCCTGATGTCACTTTCAGTCGCTAAGCATTGCGGGAATGAGCAACATAATTCTATGCATTTTGAGAACATGAAAAACCTCCCATCAGCCAAACTCTTTGCTTTCCAGTCCTGCCTGGGCTTCTAGCTTACTTTAGCACCACTTGAATGACAGTCCTTTCTGCAAACTCCAGCATCTGCTGTAAGAAATCATGGATCCACAGTTCTATCCCACTGTGTTCAACACACTTAGAACATCATGCATTGCAGCAGAGCTACTTATGCACTTAATAGCAGAGGATGAAGACTCAGATATGGATGACAATGTGAGCAACAAGAATGACACCAAACTGGCATTGCATTGGGCTGTCACAGAGCAGCTGTGCACAGTAGAACATCACTTTTGGACGAGGGAAGCCAGCCTTGAGTGGTGGGATCGCATTGTCATGCAG